CCACCTATTTCCTGTAATGTGCTACTTCCTCTCAGCTGAGAACCAGCACTTTGTGTGTTTTTGTCACTTTAAAGTTCCCCTTTTGGAATGAGAGAAGTGCTACATGTGGTCTGAAAGCAAGGAAGTGAGACAGAGCGTTGTGGTTTGCCTCAGATCAACCGAGTAACAAAGGACATCGGTTCAAAGCCAAGGGGAATGAAAAGAGCATGACCTGCACATAGTCATTAGATGTCCCCACCGAGAGTGTGTACATGTGTTTCATCACTCCAGACTCGAACAGTCGTCGTCCTCCGAGCGGAATTTGAGCAGCAGGTGAACTATTTGAAGAAGTAACACAACTGAAGCAGCCTCCAGACAGCCACCCATCAAATGTGTGTGACGTCCACTGATTTTTGAGGCGTGTTTTTCCCAAGATTGTTTGAAGAGGATTGCTTGACTTCTTCCCTGCAGCCTTCAATCCTTTAATTTAGTTAGATTAAACCAGATGATTAACTCTTTCCAACACAGTATGATCTGAACCGGTATGAAGAACTACAAATTACAACAACTAAAGCTGAAATCTGTGTTCACCTTCATGAAAATCACCGTGGATTTCTTCTTAGCTAAATCTAAATGGCTGAAAATCTATTTATTTAGGCTTTTCTACAAAGTTACAGAGCACCTTTCAAATTCAAAGCAACAAAGAACTCTACAAAGAAAGCAAAGTTAAACATTTAACTTTAAAAAAGGTATTAAATCATGCTATGCGGGCTGTTTTTTTAGGCCCACATTTCTTTAGAATAAAGGCTAACATGCTGAAGTTTATCTGGCATGCTAACCAAGCTCACTGTTTTAGGCTGACAAGATATTTTCTGATTAGCATTAGCATTAGCACATGATTAGGGAGCAAAATATTGCACAGGAGGATTTCACTTGAAGTGTGTGCGTCCTGACAGTCCTTATAGTTCACCCTGCATGTCTAAATCTAATTCTTTAAGAGATATTTCTCTCGTTGTGGGATTGTTAGACCACATGGCATCCACAAAAGCTAACACTAAGCTAAGTTTGAGTCCTAGTGATACATTGACTTGGCCTTCGTTTCCCAAGACTCTGTTGAGTTAGCTGCTTTAAAACGGTGTGATAGTTGACAGATAACAAAATGAAACACTGCTAAATGGTAGTCTGATGGCATCTAATTTAAAAAGCTCATGTTAGCTGAAACACCCGACTGGTCATGCTAGATTAAGTTGCGGCAAAAATGGGCGATTTTTGATAAAATGAACATGAGTTTTACAGTCTATCAGCTTGATTGTTTCTTCTTTCTTTGATGGTACTACGTTACTCATTTGAACCCTGCTTTGCCGCTCTTTGAAGCTAATCCAAAGATGAACAGTGGTTGTATATTTTTGCTCAGACCAGTAAACTGTCGGTGTTATCGCACACTTTTTTGACACCTAATCTATTCACAGCTTTTGCTCATCTCACAGTTGAAACTAAACAGAGTGTGCGTGTGTTTGTGAGTTATTGATTACTTAAAGAGTGGATGAGAGAGAGAGGTGACTCTTGCTCTCAGTTGGCTGCTAATGTCTTTGCCACATGACCAAGCAGGAATTTGTGGGAGCGTGTGTGAGTGTGTTAGGGAACACATGCATACTGGAAACGTGTGTGTGTGTGTGTGTGTGTGTGTGCATTTCCACGCTTTGTGCCTCATCACAGTCTGAAAACACAGCTCGTCCCACACGTTTTCTCACTTCTTTTTTTTTTTTACCTTAAGCTCCTTTTTTCAGACAGATCTGCGGCTAATGGCGTCAGAGTCCGGCGCCCCAGAGGAGAGGAGGAATGGAGGATGTTGGAGGGAGGGGAGGAATGTGTTTGGAGAAGGAGACAAGAAAAGTTCTGACTCGGACGAGAAGACAAAGAGGAGATGAAGGTGAAGAATAGGAAGTAGAAGAAATAAAAATGAAAAATGCAAAGCTTTAAGAAGTGTCCTGTTCACACACACACACACACACCGCAGACCCATGAATCTTATCTGTGGGATATCTGGAATTCAAACACAATCACCCAACGGAAATGACCGGAGAAGTAGGGGGAGAGAAGGGGGGAGATCGCAGGCTAAAAATGTAAGAAGGACAGTACATGCTGATTCTGTCTTTTCCGGTTTGGGAGGAAAAAACTTGCACAAATGCCCTGGTACATGTCCCAATTCTTTTACTTGCTTCATTTGCCGTATTCAAAGAGGGATTTATACCAAAGTTATGGCAGAAAACATGATGTTTTTCTGCTGCTTTTTATCTTAGTATATGATATGATTATGTTCCAAGCGTCTTTTACACATGGGGAGTGCCCTCCGAGACAAAAGCACATTGAGTTCTTATCTTCATGAGAACTGATCACACCTGTTTAAACCCCACCATATAGGTAGATGTTTAACTGTGTGTGTGGTTACAGCTCTTTAGAATGTGGGAGGGAAGTTATATCTGATTCTACTCGAGCTGTTCAAATCTATAGCTCACCTCAGGTTATAGTTTAGACGTGATATTTGACCGAAATGACAAATATCTGTAAGCCAACTTTGACCCATGGAAGGCTACAAAATGATCAATAATGAGCGCAATGAGAGAAAGTAATGTTAAAGATGAAGCAGGGGAAAGCTCTTGGGCGTGGCTTTCTGTGATGCCATCAATGCAGCTGTCACTCAGGATAGGGATGAAGCGATGTGGATCCATACCGTCTTAAAATTATGCAACCCGTGGCTGGTAAACAAAAATGGCGATATCCAAAAGGCCAAACCCAGATCTATAAATCAGTGGTGACGTCACCCCGTCTATGTCCACTTCTTTTCCACAAACTGGCTCTGAACAAGCCTTCTTTGATCCATGAATCCTTGCATTCAAATGTTGCTTGTAACTTGGTACCACTTTATCCCAGATGCTCTCACACACAGCTGAACCGAACACACACCTGCGCACACTTTGCACTTCTCATGCTGTGATCACGTTACAAACTTTTCCTCCATTACTGCGGACTCTGAACAACTGCAAGCAGCATGGAAGGAAGTGGTTATTTGTAACCCTCGGGGGGGGCGCTCGGTTGTGGACTTTCCCTTAAGGCCGAGCTTGTGTCCAGTTGGTGTTTCTGAGTAAGCGAGAGGGGGGACGGTGGGGGGTGGGGGGTTGATGGGAAAGCAAATATGGGAAATCAATGTGGATTGTTCTGCACCACAGGGATACATGTGTATTAAAATCCATTCTCATTCTTTCTTTTTACGTTTTAGGTCACCGCCTTTGTCAAAACTGGTTAACAGGGCTCGTTCGTTCAAAGCAAAGAGCTTGATTGAAGTATTTCAGAGCTTACTTTAGAGGGACGCACGCTGCTCGGAAGCTATTGCGAAATCAAATGTTGCAACACATCAATAGAGGCGTTACAGAATTACATTTCTTACAGCATCAGAGCAACATAAACCACAACCAGAAATAATTTTATCATGAAAGGGCAATGTTGTGGAGCAGACCTTACAGCAGCTTGTTTTTTGCGGTTGCATGTTTGAGGACTCATTTCCTGCCTCGGGGTGGTGCAAGACTGTTAATAAATACAAACTTAAACTGTGTGACACCTTTAAATAGAAACTGAAGAAACACGGCGACCCCCCCCCCCCACGTGGTTGAAACAAAGAGAAGAGAAACACAAAGAAAAAAAGAAAACGTCCAATCCAGTCATCTGTGATAAACCTCAAGGTCATGATGGGTGGGTGTGATGGGTGGGGGGTAGAGAGGCAACACGCCCCCCCTGTCACACTCAAACTCTCATGCGCACACGCACATCCTGTCAAGAGCATTAGGCACAAATAGGAAATGTAGGTTGATTTTGCTCGTAGCCCACGTCGTGTGGTTATGCAGCAGCTGTGACTTCCTGAAGCTCTAATGTGTTAAAAGAGAAACGAAATCTTCTTCAGCTAACAGCAACTCATTCAACAAAAACACAGTAAAGGAGCTTTTTTTGTTAGTTGAGAAGGTTGAAACCATGCTGATGTGTGCAATTAATATGAAGCAGGAACAGGATGCTAATTAGCCTAGCTTAGCATAAACACTGGAAGCAGGGGGAAACTTCTGGCCTAGTTCTGTCTGAAGGATACAAAATCCACTTCTTAGGCCGCTAATTTGATCAATTCAAACACTTAACAATAATGCAAACTGTTTGAGATTGTTTGTTTTGTTTATTTTACGCAACATGTTTGCGTATTTATTAATTTATTTTATGTTTTGGATTGTCTATAACATGATGCTTTACTGTCTTGTTTTGTTGTGTTACTCCCTTTAGAAAAGTGGTAACTGTAGTGTAAGGTTTAAGGGTCCTAGGCAATAAAGTCTGCACATTAAGAAGGAAAGGGCATCCTGACGCAAATTAGCTTAGCATAAAGATGGAAACAAAGGGAAACTGCTGTTTAGCTCCCGAACGAACACACAAGCTGTTTGTGTAACTGGAACAAACACAACAAAGTGTAGTTTTCATTTGGATGTATTGTTTGGAATTTAAACTTTACAACCATCATTAAACTAGCGGAAACACAAGTCTGATGTGTTCTTAATGAAAGGTTACACACTCTTTAGTCCACAAAATCAGACTATAAGAGAAACTTAACCACCCTCCACCTTTTCTCCATAAAACTTCCTCCTCACAATAATTTGTGGACAGTCCCTAAGTGATAACGCAACGACAGAGCAAGAGAGACAAAGACCTTCATGATGTGAATTTTTATCAGCCAAATCTCATGTGCTCATCATCGTGTGAACAGCTTTGGTTTCTTTGTGTTGTTTATGTCCACACACACACACACACACACAAATCCATTCATCACAACACACACAGCACAGAGTGTTGGGGTTGGTTTCAGGTGGAGGTGGAGGGGGGGGGGGGGGGGGGGGGCGACTTACCATGTTGTCATAAATGTCTGCCCAAGAAGAAAATGATCACTTTAACAAGACCTCCTCCCTCCCTCCTCTGGATTTCTCAGGGCGGGGCTGTCTCTGTGTGTGTGTGTGTGTGTGTGTGTGTGTGTGTGTGCTCATGCGTACATGTCAAGTGTGGCGTGGTCTGCACAAAGAGGCGGAGACAAACAAAAGCAGGATGTGATACAGCAGGACTCCACTTCCTCCCTCCCTCCAGTGGAATCAGCATAAAGTGCAGAGAGCGCCACCTCTTGACCAATATAATTCATAACAAGGGCATGCTGGTAAAATTCCATTCACACAGATAAGGACCATTCAAGTGCAGACAGGCTACAGTCAAATGATTTGATAAGATCCCAAGGAGCCTTTAATGTGCTTTTTTTAAAAATTCAAGTCATGTGTGGTTGGAGAAGGAGAAGTCAGGGAGCGGTGTGCTGTGCAGATTTGAAAAGAGGATTCTTTTTTTTTAAGTGTTCACTGAAGGCGAAACTGGACCCCACCCATTTGTACACACACATCCATAGATGTAACACACACTGAGAGGGAGGCGGGAGGGGTCCACAAAATCCACTTTAAAACAACCAGAGCAGAGCAAACAACATTCACAAAAACCTGAAAGTCCAAAACTCCTTCAGCCAGCACTCTTTAAAAAGAAAAGTTAAACATTAACGCTGCTAAAAGCCTCCTGGCAGCTCCGACTTCCATCTGAGGTTTTAAAAGCTGCCGGTTGAAGACCGAGAAGACACTGTATCAGTTTTCCCTCAGGACTTTATTGGCCTCAGCTGCATGAATCTTAAAAGCAAATCTTCAATATGTGATTAGGAGGATGATGTCATACCTCAGGTTACGTAATGGCACCCTGCTCATCTTCATACAGCTCAGAGGTATTCAGGCGTGGATAACGGGATGTGGGGCTGCTATTAAATGTGCTTCACTGAATAATCAGGTGATTTTAATGTCCTCTAGTCGAGTTTATGTTTAATTTATGGACAGCACTTTTCATTCACAGTCACTGGAAACTAACTTAACAAACTAGCAATCTGTAAAGACCTCACGACAGATGTCGTTCCTTTATTGGCAGGTTCATTTAATGTGAAGTCTCTTCTAAGGGACCGTGTGAAAATCTTGGGGTGAGTGGGCGGGGTTTGAGAGTAAACTTTATCTGATTAAATGCCACAGCTTCCCAAAGTAAATATTTGGTGCTTTTCTTTGACGTGAATGTGTATGTTTGGGGTTTTTTACTTTTCAGTCATATTTTGGTGTCATTAATATTCATGATGTTTTTAGGGTTTGACAGAAATTTAGAGCAAAAGTGAAGTAGAACTTTTAAAGACTGAGTTTTTATGAGGGATCTTGATATTAAATTCTTCATACTTTGCCTTTTAAGTTTGTTTTGTTGGGACGCTGGTAGTAGAGAATCAAAAAGGGAGGCCTCTGTTTCTTCAAATGCGATCCCCGTTGCGATCATTTCCACTCAGTCCCTAAACTAAACTGAGATTATGCTGTCATATTCAGTGACATAACTTTGGAAGATGCATTTTAAATGAATACATTTGTAGTTTTTCAACCACCCAGACTTTAACTTTATTTTCATCCCCACACGTTTCTCTCAAGTTTGTGATTATATCAAAGTGTGTCATTGGCTCTAAGGACATAATTACAGCTACAGGAGCTGCAGACTGCTCCAGTCTACTGCAGTGGTTTTGGTGCACGGAAACAGTTCTTGTCTTTGCTCCACAACCCTGAATTAACCTAAACACTCACTTATCTTCCTCCTTCAAAACATGCTATTACACAACAGCTGGACGACCTGCCTCATCTTGTTGTGAGATACCTTACAGTCCTGTGCTCTTGTATGTAAGGTCTGCATGTTTCTGCACGTCAAATCTAAACACCCCATATGTTGTGCAAATCCTGCGTTAGTATCACCGGGATTCTCAAAAAAAAGGGAAAGCACATTCATAATCATGCAGGTTAATCCATAATCATTCCTGAAATCATCTATCTGTCCGTTACTTTAATCCCTCGGATTGTGGACTACGCCCTGTAGCTCTTGCATTGCTTTGATACAGATGTTAATCCAGCTTTGTTTTTTTCACAAAAGGGGAGCTGTGAAAACAAACAAGACATAAAAACAGGTTTCTGCGATGGCAATAACCTGCAAAGCTGAATGCACACACCTGCATCAAATGGGTACAGAACGAGCTAATCCTCTGGACAAATCTGGGAATAAAAGCTCTTTTGTAAGGCACCATGATTGTGTTACAAGAACAGATGTAAAACAACACAAAGTACTGCAGAGATGATTATATACTCAGGACACTACCTTCACTCTGATTGTATTACCTATAAAATGTTTATATATATATGAAAAAATATAACTGTAAAATGTTCTGCAGGTTTTTGTTGGTAAGTACGTGCAGTTCCTTACAAATGAACATCAAGCAAGCTCTGCATACATGTGGACTGACTTTATTGGGCAACAGCACCATCTAGCGGCGGCTTCCGGCAACTTCTTGTTTTTTGTTTTTTAGGCGGATCAAAGATGGCTACCTCCGTGTTGACGTTGTGAGCTTCTTTTGGGGTGCCAAACATGAGTGATTTCAGGTAATCCATGAGAACGAGTCATTTGATTTGTTGAAGTATGCGTGTTGCTGAGTTGCACATCAGGACAAAACAATCTGAGTTTCATTGTTTTTGTGGTTTAGGTCGAAACTTCTTTATGGGTGCATTTGTTGTTTTGCCATAATCTGCTTTACAATTCTTTCTGCAGGTAATATGGATGCAAAAGAAATAGTCCACTTTGCCCTCCAGATGGAGAAATCCAGTGCAGACAGAAGCTATGGGAACGTCTTGACCGTCCTCGCTGACCTCGATAAGATTCACATCACAGCAGAGCAGCTGGAGACGACAGACATTGTTAAAGTTCTCTACAGGCTCCTGAAAAGCTGCCCTGATGGGAACATTAAGAAGACAGTGAAGGGCTTGTTGGCCAAGTGGAAGAGACAATATGGAAGAGGTGTGAAATGTACAGATGAGTGGAAGGCTTCTGAACGGGATTCTTCTGCTCACAAAACTGTGGAGAGAGAAGTATCCAAGCAAGGAGAACAATCTGAAGAGGGAAAAGATGGTGGCCGCAGCCTTTGTTTTGCTTCAGAATGCAGCTCTGCGTCTCCCTCCATATCTTCTTTAAGGTCTAAATGTGTCCAGCTCCTCCTCGACGCTCTCTCCAAAGAACTTCCAAATCAAGAAAAAGCCGTCATGGCCGAAAACATCGAAAAGCAAATCCACGAGCTTCACAAATCCAGCGACGTCAAATACAAAGCCTGTGTCAGAAGCAAGGTCGCTAATCTGAGGAATCCTAAAAACATCCATTTGCAGCAGGAGCTGTTGAACGGCGCACTCTCGCCCGGGGCCTTCGCCCGGATGTCCGCGGAGGAAATGGCGAGCCCGGAGCTCCGTCAGCTCAGGGAGGCGTACTCATCGCGCGCCGTTAGTGAGAGGCAGCTCCCTCAGGGGGTAGAAGGGACAAAGACACAGAAGGTCAGGTGTAAAAAATGTGGGGGGACAGACTGCACGGTGACGCAGGTGTCCAGGGGGGCCCTCTTTCTGCCCGTGTGGGTTCGGAGGGGCGGCCCTGACGACGACGCGATGACTTTTGTGACCTGCGGTGAATGTGGACAGCAGTGGTACCACAGCGGCTGGGTCTGCCTCTAAAGCCAGAACAATCAGTCGGACACAATCAAAACTGGTGAAAAGTGTGCAAATCCCCATATAAGGCTCTTGTATTGCTTTAAATATTTTTACATATTTTATGCTGAATAGTTTTCTGTCTTTATAACTAAATTACTGACAACTTGTCTCGACCACTGTGTGTAATATTGTGTGGAAACACCTTTACTTACTTATTTATCACCTCACTCAATGTACTTTTATGATTTTGTGCGGATAAAGAGACTTTCAAAAGTAATTGGAAAGGTGTTTAATAAACTGTCCTTGTGAAGGAAGCAGTGAAAAAGCAGATGTGTTCATTCCCTGCAGCAGTGAAACAGAAGGAATGATGAGAGGAATGCAGAGTGAATACAAAGCACAAAACATTCTTGTATAGTTTCTTGAAAATGCAACGTTCAGATTTGAACTTCGTCGCAGAACATCCCAAACTGAAAGCCCACGTTGTGGTTTCCTTTTCCGGCTTAAAAGGCCGAGTCATTGTCCGTTACAGCTGCAGACTGAAACCACCACTTTTCAGGAAGTTGCTCTCGTCATCATCCTATACTGAGTCATTTCCTCTCGTCTGCTTCATCTGCACTTACAGAAACTCGATGGACTCCTTTATTGTCCGTCTTTTATGACGAGCTTCTGCTCAGAGGAAGAATCCAAACCATTACAGCCCTGACTTTCAGCCTCTTCAAGGTTGAATCTTGCTTATCGATGAAAAGCGAGTGTATTGTGTTGCTCTTCTGATTGTAATAAACAGAAGAAGACATCATGCCCCCAGCCTCCTCTTCCCACAATATCCCATTCATGTGGAGCAAACTGGCTCCAGTCGATGAGACATGTGACTTTTAGAGAACGGGCGAGCATGTGAGTCAGTAATCTGCCCTCCTGAGCGGCCCGAGGCTCGGATATCCCATGGTGCTTCAGTCAGTGGACGTGGCACAGTGAGTCATTTTCACGTCGATTGGGCCTTCACCTAGAGGGACAATGAAATGAATGACCAACTTTTAAATCACTTCTTTTGTCTGTGATGTTATACTTTGATTTATTAGTTTTATTGAATTCTTTTTTGGTCCAGAAATAATGTATATGGATGCTAAAATTGGGGGAAATATGTGTTTTATTGGCTGCTTATGTTGCTTCTTTTTTGCATCTGTGAAACCAAAATAGATGCTGTAAAACATCTGCAGATTTACCATCCTTTAGGAAAGAACTTCTGCCTTCATGTCGCGTTCATGCATCCAACTCCTTTAGTGTCGATATATTTCTACATTTATCAAAATATTACAGAACAAAATAATTAACCTGTCTCTTCATGCAAGTAAAGCTGCTTAGCTGCATCATTTCCATCAGTTCTGGAACTTGTTTTGCATAGACTCAATGGTGTTTTCTGTTTGTCTTGGAGCAGCCTCAGCTCTGTTTTCAAAAGGAAAAGTCGGGGATGTCCAAAGAAAAAAAAAAAAAATCCCCTGTAACTGTAATCTCGTGCTTGTCAGATATGGAGCTGCAGTATCTTGTCAGTCAGACACAGCAGGAGTGTGGATGAAGTTTGCTATCAGTGGCTTTCTGTGTTGTGTCTCCTCTCAGATGCTCTCTATCTCCTCAGTGTCGTGTTCCACCCTCTCACCCTGTCAAATCGATGCTTTGTACCTGTTTATCTTCTCTCCTACCAGCACATCACAGAAAACACACCACAAACAGAGATTACAAAGTTTGACTCACTCTTAGCAAACTGTACAAGGCTGTAAAACCTGCAAAAATGCAAAGATTCTGAATGATTAAGCAGCTTTATGACAAAAGATACTGTAGAGCTGCTCCTAACAATCGATTTATCTGTCAGTCTATCCTTTGTTTAAGAATAAATCAATACATTTTAATGTCAGAAAATGTTGATTAATATTGATAAGAGTGCAAGGCATGTCTTTGTTTTGTTACAAACCGCAAAAATATTCAGTTTACAATCATAGAGGAGTAGAGACATTTTATAGGCTAATTGCAGGAGGGTGAATTTTCCAGTTTGCAAATGCCACAATTTTATTGTTATTTGTTAAGCAGTGATATATTACTTCTTGCTTTAATGTAAATGTTGATTTTGGGACCTACTATTATCCTATGGGGGTTTCCTACCTGCATGTTAAAACAGGAATCAGTGCTTTAACACGCTGGTCTCCTTTAAATATCCTACTTCTGTTTTTTTAGGGTAAATTGTCCTTTTAATTTTCTTTATGATATGACGCACAAAGAGACACTTTGACTGAAAGTGAACGAAAACAGATGCATCCAATAGGGCGCATGATGAGGCGGAGGCGGGACACTCCCCGGTCATGTGAGCGTCATCAGCGGCTCTCAGGTCCAGAGAGCAGCGGGGACCCGGAGCGCCATGACACCGGCAGAGAGCTGCGCCTTATCGGGGTGAACAAGAGAGGGATTTAACCGCATGAGCTGAACTGTGACCACCACGGGGACAGGTAAAGCTTCTGAGGTGGGGAAACCTACACTTTCAGCCACTAACATCACCCACGTTGTGTCTTTTGTTCCCCTCGGTGAAGTTGAGAGTGTGTGAGTGTGAGTGCGCCCATTATCGGACAGCTGAAGTTTCCATTGAAACTCACGTTATCGTACAAAGCCTCAATTTCAGAGTTACTTTTCATACTTTTTAATATGGACTGTCACTCTTTTGACTTTTATGAGGCCTTTAAACTGCTGTAAACGTGTTGTGTGTGTGTGTCATAAATCTGGTCTAGTGATATGAATGACTCTACCTTATGTCTGTAACTAGACACTGTAATATCATCATGCTCATTTAGTTTATATGATTTTATATGTGAGATGAAATGTTGTAATTTCAATCATGTGGTTGGTTGTTTTGTAGGAAATATTCATAATTTTATTGGATGTAACCCAAACAGCTTCAGGCTTCTTTTCAGTCAGTCATTTTCTGTTGAATGAAGCACATGACTCCTGAGTGTGTGACTGTATGTGTGTGTGTGTGTGTGTGTGTGTGGTCATTCATTCCTGCTTCTTTGCACGACTCCTTTTATTATAAAATGAAGAACTGGGAGGCAGGAGAATCCTTGCAGTGAGTCGGTGTTTAAAGGTGTTTAAAGGCATCATTTAACCGGTTTTATAGTCCTCCAGTTCTGCTGGTTCACATGACAACCCCTCTTTAACTTCTGCACTCATTCACGTAGTTTTAACTCTTTACAATTGCCTAACTTCTCCTAACAAGCAGCAGATTTGGCCCATTTGTGTCCTGATCCACAGCAGAATGCACGCACAGCGACATTACTCAATGTTGTGCTTTTAGTAGGGACTTAAATTACATGAGTCGGATTAGATGGTTGAATAACTTCTTATCCTCGTTCTTAGATGTTCCCACTTAAGTGTGTTCACAAGCTTCATTATTTGGAATCAACATGGATGATGCACACAATAAAAGGCTGCATTTCATTGCTCAGAGCTGATGTAGGTCACTCTACTGGAACAACAAGTTACACCCTTAATATATCCCTAATTACATCTGAGCGTCTTCCAGTTCTACAAAGTTCTCGAACAATTAACCCGACGTTTACTGATCCAGTTGTTTAAACATGAGAGGACGTTAACTTGAGTCTGAAACTCTTCTTTTGTTCTTAATCCAACATCAGAAAAAGTTATAATGATGCATGCAGCTCTACTGATGCACTCGACACCCTTTACAGCAACCAGTTTGCAGCTGGACGAAGTATTTGATCTGTTTCTCGGTGAAAATTAAGAAAATACTTTGTTGTATTTTTAGGGAAAATGCTGAATGTTCTCCAGTTTGAGCTTTGAATACAACAAGTTTGGACTGGAGATAATTCACCGTCTACTCCTTTTTGACAGCAAAATAAGTCTTATGTAATGAAGGGATTTATTTTGAACTTCATAACAAACAAAATAGATTTATCCTCTATTAGGAATCCATCCTGTTGCATAAGATTATAAAATAGTGTTCAGCCCCGTTGTGTTGAAGTATTTGCTGGTTAATGAGCATCGCTGGCATTTTTTCTAACTTGTCCAAATCCAGACAAACTAAACTCGAATCGAAGGTTTTTTCCCACATTTTTAAAACTTCAGTCATTTCAATACCACGTGTTTTAAAACGATCCAATCAGTTGTTTTAATGATGGATAGAGTCACAAAGTACAGAAGCTATAAAAAGAACTACAGAAGCTTTAACAGAGATACTTTTTGGGGATTAAAAAACAGACAATTGCTCAGTTTTAGGAGCATAGGACTTCATTTTTGTTGATGTGGTATCACATATCTAACATCGTTTTATTTTTACTACTATGAAATCGAAGATTCAAATTCTCAAATTCTGGTTAAAAACCACACTGCAGTGCACACTGGGTGCTGTCTGTATTTCTAAACACAATAACAAATATTGTGACATTCTTATGTAAAACTAAAGTTTGGTTTCCATCGTTGATGATCTTTTTCTGTGATGGATGATGTGACCTTGATCTCCTCCTTGTCTCCCGTTCAAACCAGCTCCTGGTTAGATTTCTTCACTTTCTCCTCTCGGATTAGTTCTGGTATGTGGGTGGGATGATTCCCCGCTTACTTAGTCTTAACTGGTATGCTGCTAAGTATGCAAGTGTGTGGTATGCGATTAAATTAGCACTTAAATCCTCACTTTACTTCAGTGAGTGGGTGAACTCTGTAGCGTCTTGGTGAAAGTGTAAAATCAACACACTCTCTCTCTCTCTCTCTCTCTCCTACAGATGGGTGATAAAATGCTGTGTGTGCTGATATAAAGGTGAGGAATCTTGTTTCTGTTGCATCACTTGCAGGCGACTCACTGGTCCTGTGATCGTCGTCCATGTGATGTGCTGCACGCATCATTTCATGCACAGTGTAGGAAGTTCATTAGTTACAAAGGCGAAACAGGCGGGGCTGTTTCTTGATGGGATTAGCGAGTCGACTGACTTTAATCAGCTCTCCTACACTGTCCGCGCGTGAGCGATCATGTAGACGTGGCCGCTCACAGGAAGTGTGTGAAGAGGAGAAAGTTGATAGACGCTGTTTGGATCTTATCAGTGAGGCCAAAGGTCGCAAAGTCACAAAGTAAGTCAGACCAAGGTGTATTTTTTTGTCATGGACGCAAATATTGTTCGATGATTGGAACAAATCGTGGAAATAAAGCAAACTCCTCCTTCTGTAAATGTAGCCGCTTCTGACATGTTGCTCATATTTGCGTGCTCTCCCAACAGTTGAGAGATAAAAAGTAGATTTGCCAAAGTGAGTAAGTCAAGCCATTTCAGGTAAATGTTTTTAACTTAGATATTTGGGGTAGAAATCATCTTCATATTATTTGATCGTAATCTGCAGCATGAGATCTGTGAGGCTGCAGAGCTTGTTCTCATGTGAAACTGCTGCTTCTAGTTTTGCTGTCTCCAGTCCTCGCGTGCAGTCCAGTAAGACCAGAGCGGTCTGGATCCGCCTCGCCGCAGCCATGACGACCAAGTCAGCCCTCCTGAAGGTGATCCTCCTGGGAGACGGAGGCGTGGGCAAGTCCTCTCTCATGAACCGCTACGTCACCAACAAGTTCGACTCGCACCTCTTCCACACCATCGGCGTCGAGTTCCTCAACAAGGAGCTGGAGGTGGACGGCCACCACGTCACGCTTCAGATCTGGGACACGGCGGGCCAGGAGCGTTTTCGCAGCCTGCGCACGCCGTTCTACCGCGGCTCTGACTGCTGCCTGCTCACCTTCAGCGTGGACGACGGGCAGAGCTTTCAAAACCTGAACAACTGGAAGAAGGAGTTCACGTACTACGCTGACGTCAAGGACCCCGACAACTTCCCCTTCGTGGTGCTCGGCAACAAATTGGACGTACCTGAGAGGCAGGTTTCAGGGGAGGACGTGCGGAAATGGTGCCGTGAGAACGGCGGACACCCGTACTTTGAGACGAGCGCTAAGGATGCGACGAACGTAGCATCAGCCTTTGAGGAGGCGGTGCGTCGCATCCTGGCGCTGGATGACAGAGCCGATCATCTTATCCACACGGACACGGTAGACCTGCAGAGGAAGAGTCCACCTGACCCCACCTGCTGCTGAGCCAAATGTGACTCCCAGCGGGTGCTCATGTGATGCTGACAGATATTGTGTGTTTTTTTGTTTTTTTTTAACAGGAAAATTTGAGGAAACAAGTTCATACTTTGGAGAAACACTGAGAAAAATTCCATCTTTCCGCCTCACGAGGAACCAAAGCGCTCTGATCCAGACTGCATTCAGTCCTGAGGAACTCTTAATTTATACAAAGCATGACGGGACAGTCAGTATGAAACTAGAGGATAAAGTCTTTGCAGGTTTCTTGGTTCATTTTTGCAGTTGGTGATAAAGACCTTTTTAGAAAATGAGATTGCTAAGTGCATTCAAAACTGCCAAAGATTTGACGTCACTGAAGAAGCTGTGGCATTTAGTGTTAGCCCACAAAAAGAGAAGTCCTGGGGGGGGATTTCCTGCTGATGTGGAAGTTTACAGCGCAAATGTAGTGACTCTTCTCCGACACCCCTGTGACTACTACGACAACTAAAGTTCATTTAAATTTGTATTCGCATTAATAATTGCTACTCATTATGTTTAAGTCAGTCTCTTGACTTATTTTAATATGGTCAAATATAGAAACTTTAAACTAAATTCATGTGGTACAGATTATATAGAGGTAGTCACATGATTAGATGGATCTAAAAGTTTTTATATATATTTTAGATGAAAAAAATATGTGTTCTGTTGTTTTGGAATAGTAGTGTCAAGCAAGTGATTAAAAAAAATGTTTAAATTGAGCAAATCAATTGAAAATTGGTCAAACCAGAGATGCCATGATTAAATGTAATATTCTGCTTAGAATGAAACGAGCTGCCCATTCATGTTTTTATGTAACTAGACGGATATTGAACTTGTTGGAGTTAATTTATTTCAGGTTAACAGAGCTCAAACTGCTTTAAGATCGAAATGACTGATAACCCTGAGGCTCATTTGATCTTTATTTGCTCTGCTTTGTCTCCCAACATTTATCGAACTGGAATTAAAACAGCTGCCAACAATGACACTGGAGTGAAATCTTGTGTAACATAGAATTGTATTATTATTGAAGTGCAGTACTATTTTTATCCACAAGAGCGCACCCTAATATTAAATGTGAGAGAGATAAAACGCTCATCTCCAATGTCACTCATGAAGCTCTTAAGACACTGCAGATCTCATCAAAGACCCCTCAATTACAGGTGAATGTGTTGGGTAAAATGTGTTCTGGGAATAATGTAGCCTCAACAAATTCAGTGTTGAATTTAAAATGTTTGTTACCATAAATGAAGCAAATCAGGGTGCAGGCTGCCTACACAGTTCAGAGCTGATGGAGTGGAATCACCTGAGTGGGCGCTCAAGACCACATCCTGGCTGTTGATATCAAACTTTCATAGGATTATCTCGCCTTTGTTTTTTTTTAAGTAATTAAATTTGTCCATTAGATGTTTATGTTGGAGCCTTTTTTTGGATTTCAGCCGACAAATGCTGGCAAGAAAAATAATTTTCCCATCACTGAAATAACAATCAAAAATGTGTTTGACTTTAAGCACAAGTTTATGAGGTTAGATTAAATTGATAAATGCTCTTAGGAGATAAAGGAGACGCTCAGTGGACCATAATTTAAGTTAACATAAATGTATCCATGACTATTATTTATAAGTCTTCTCAAGTTTGACGCAGAAATATCAAACATTTCATAGCTGTAGGACTATAAGGAAGCTGCATTTTCTTGTCTTTTGTTGTTTAAAGAGCAGAAAGATGTGCATTTAAACAAATATAATAAGGGTTACTAATTAAGAGGAAACAAACCAATTAAATTCAGAGACCCAAACACAAGAATGAGACAGGAGACAACGGTGTCACGATAATAAAAAATATCGGTTTTACTAGAGAAGGTTACAAAAATCATCACTATATAGGAGTCATAGAACTATTTCCAACTTAAAAAATAAAACCATAATGAAACACCTACAGGGACTACAATGCCATCAAAGTACAATGGAGTTTTCTTTAGAAAAGAGTGGGTGGAAAGGGTTGGGGGGGGCGGGGGGGGGTTTGTGGAGGAGGGGGTCAAACACCGCCTACCATAGTTGTCAGTACGATTGACTACACATCACCTGAAAAACTGCAAAGACACAGTCATGTCTCCTTCATGCAAATAACGAGGAAACAACAACACCCTGACACGCATCGTCTTATAGGAAATTGAAGTTTGCCTTTACATCAACCTGGCGGCAAAGCACGTATATTTATCAAACATAACACACATGGCAATATAGTCCTTTTTTATACAGAATAGACAGCTGCACACATGGACGATACTGACATGCTTCATCTCATTAAAGTTCAAAAATGTGTCTTCTTCAGTGTTATTCTTTTTTTTTTTTTGAGGGTAAACTAACCAGTGATGACCGATATAGAATATAGTTCATGATCATTAAACAATGTCTGGTTATAAAATGAATGTATGAAAATTCCTGACTTGTTTTAATTCAGAGTGTAAACATCCAAAACAGTCTCTGTGGCTCATATGAGAGGCATGACGTACAAAATAAAATAACAAAAAGTGACTTTTTTTCCCTCAACTCACATGTTGATGAGTCACTTATTTGGCTGGCCATTGAACCAAAGAAAAAAAAAAAAAAAAGCACAAATCAGATCAATAAAATCATAATTACTGAATCACAAGAGCTCAGCTGCCTAAAACTGATAAAACATTAAAAATTAACTCCATATTTTTTTTTGTTCACGTTTTTAAAAATGTATACGTCACAAGCACCTCAATCCATCATATCATGACTGCACTGCATCCCTCTCACGACATATCTTTTAAGATGTTACAATACAATTATTATATCAAATGCAGAACTAGTATTTGAGTGCTAAACACATATCTCAAAGGGAACATTTACATATATCTGTGGAAAAAAATAATAATAGAACAGCATGGCAAAACACTGATTGTGTTCTCATTTTGGGAGAGGTGTTCATTGAGATTTTTGAGGGTGATTCAGCTATTTACAGGTGAATTTTATTCATTAAAGGATCAATTGTAGGGAATGATTGTTGGTTTTTCACTATTTAAACAGCGTTCCAGTCAGATAAGGGTTAGTGGTAACACGGTGAAGCTTTAGGAAAGAACACAACTGGCTAAAATCAGATTTGGTTTGATTCCTGAGGTGTGTGTCTTTTAAAAACAAAAAAAAAAACCCAGACAGATCTAGACTATCATTGATTTCTGCGGTCGCTGGTGTTAAGTGTAGCAAAAACTTTAAGGATCTCAAAGGAAACTAGTATAAAACACTGGGAAATCACCGTTTTCTCTCCCTCGCTGAGAGTTAGATAAGAAGATTGATACCACTTTAAGCTAACGGAAGCAGCCAGTTTGGTAAACTTAGCTTAGACATCCAAAAATGTGGAAACAGCTAGCAAAGCTTTGTTTGAAAGTACTTATTAAGTACTTCGAAACAGGTTATCAATCTATTGTTTTTTTCCCAGAGAAACCAAAGTGTGAAAACAACAGGTTGTGATTTTACGCGCTATCAGAGCCTTTTTGAAGTGCGCAAGCTAACGTAAAGTTTGACCTGTGAAGTGCGAATCCACAATCCAACTTTTAAACACTTTGTAAATCAGACTTGTGTAAATCAGCGTGATGAAAGATACAACAGAAAACTCAAAGTACTCGAGTCTCTTTTGATTCTCTGATTTGTTTTTGTTGTTGAAATTTTCAAAATCCAAAACAAAAAACGCCCAACCAGAATTAAAATTTTTAGACACTTTAAATCCATTATTACCCCTCATTTGAACTAAAAAGTGAACGTAACTTGTTTTTTTAGTGAGATTAAAAAGTGTTGTCACCTCTAACCAGAGCCCTGCTTGCTGGTTCCAGTCTTTAAGCTAACCAAAGCTAGCTGTAGCTTTCCGTTTCCGAGCGTGAGAGTGGCATCTGTCTTCACATCTTTCCCTCGACAAGAGAACGTACAAGTGAATATACCAAAACTTTTTTTTATTTGTTAAAGGTTTGCTACACCTCTGGTCTGAAATTATCGTAAAAAAAACCCGGTGGATAAATAAACTCTGCTCATGTGAATGTAAAAAAAAAAATCCTTGAGATACAACATGGTTCGAGTTTTCTTTTTTTTAGAAAGTATGAGAGCGAGGGGCAAGGGTGCTTTAGGTTTTTTTTTTTTTTTTAAAGATTTTTATTCTCCCTTATTATAATTGTTTTGAAATAGTGCAATAATGTATGGATCAATAGTAATAAAAAGTCTTAAGATGGAGAAGAAAGTAAAGGAGAAAAACCCATGAGCGCAAAAACAGAAGAAGAAGATCATAATAGTACCAGGCATTCTTTTCCGAGAGTATTAAAAAAAAAAAAAAAACATTCATACACATTCGCACAATAAATTCATATTCATATATATATGCATATAAAACACCAAAAAACGGAGGAAGTTGGTCGCTGCCTGGCTTCTCTGTGGCTGAAGCAGACAGCGAACAATGTTTTTTTAGGCTGTTAGGAGCTGTGTGTCAAGAGGCTGTGCTGGCTCAGGGCGCGAGGCCATCACGGCCGGGCCTCGTTCACGAGCCGCCGTCCAAAAAGCATGGGGGAGGAGACGCTTCTGAACTGATGTAGCGTACCTGAGCTCCACCCGGACGGCCGGGCGAGCTCTCCCGTTCTGAAGCATCTGCCTCCACCTGGGCCTGATGCTTCTCCTGATCCTCTATCCTCTTTCCCTCCCCTGTGAGCTCACAACTCTGAATAAACATTGCAGAGGGGAAGAGGATAGAGGATCAGGCGGTTTGGGGGGGGGGGACTATCAAACATGACCGAGGTGGTTTTGTTTTAACTGAGGGAGGGGTGGGCGCTGGGTGTTGCAGGGGTTGGGGGCGGGGTTTGAGGTGTGGAGAGGAGATGGGTCGGTGGCAGTAGAGGATCCCTTGTCCTTATGAGTAGGAGGAGGAGTTCTGGCCCTCCTTGGAGCGCGCCTCGGCCTCCAGATCCTGGTCATCCTTGGTCTTGATGTCCTGGTACTCGTGCGTGGAGACAGCACTCTTCAGGTAGGCCCAGTTTGCCCCCAAAATCATCAGGTAGTGGGTCTAAGGAGACAACACATGTATGTATTCGATGAATGCACTCTGATTTAAAAATAGAACAACTTGAGAGTGTGGAAATGCACTTAAAGTCAGAAAATATTTCAATTCTGTTTCTTCATTACTCAGTTTATAAGTACATTTTGGGATACCTATGAGAAAAAAATAAGTGTTTTCCTCTTATTGTACTCCATATCAGGATTTCCAAGTATTCTTAGTGTTGCTACTTTTCCAGTTAGAGACGACTGTGAACCCAAATTTGGAGCTTTGAGGTGATTACCCTGGTGAGTTATCATCAGTGAATTAACCTGCAATTTGGGTTGACTTCAGAGAACCAATCTTTTTTTTTTTTTTAATTGAAAAAGAAAGGGGGATCTAAAACTCAAAATATGGCGTTTGATCTGATGTAACAAATTGAGAGAGCAAAGGCTGTTGCATAATATCACGCACACTTTGAAAGAAAGAGAAAATATTGTTCCAGTTTTGGACACTACTGGCACTCTTTTGCTCAGATACTGTTCTGTATATCTTTCTAAATAAGTGAGCTGTAAAACATCACAGTGCAGAGGGCTGTCAGACCCCACACACCATCAGGAGAGGTTTCGCATTTCTTTTTTTATCGCCTTCATTTCCCTGGCCATGAAACGAAACTATCCGCCTCCACAGCGGAGTAAAAACGCCGACCCCGTCTACACACGCTCACGCAGCAGAGGCAGCCTGGAGGGTTGGATTTCGACCCCGTTGCATTGCAGTGACATACCCGGCGAGAACGTGAGAGGCGGGGTTGCCATGGCAACAGATAAGCAAGCCATGGCAACGTGCATATTTTCAGAAGCACATTATCAGCGGGATCATGAGCGAGCGGCTTACCAATGCGATGACGGTGGCTCCGGCGCCGGCAAACGCAACGATGTAGAGGTGGTAGGAGAGGTAGAACTGTGGAGGAAAAGAGAGAGTAAGAGAGGGAACGGGGAGGGGGGGGGAAGGGATTAAATAAATAAAATGAGGCAAAAGGTCGGGTTAGTGTCCTCTCACCTCGCTGGTGTTGCAGATGTCTCCCAGTGTGGCTCCACAAGCTTTTCCCGGTGTGGCGTTCCAGGGAATAATACCTACAGGATCAGAGAGATGAAACATCAGAGAGCTGCCGCTTCCTCATCTGAGACAAGAAGCTTTTTCCTCCCCCGAGACTCTGTGATTGATGGCATTATGAATTAGGCTCGGATAAAGATTAAAGGAAACGGGGCTGTGGCTGTGCGGGCCTTTGAGCCCCTCCTACAGGAAAAATATGGGTCATTATTATAATCTTAACTGTGAAAAGATTCTTCAACACTGGATTGCATAGGCTTACTTCAAATTGTCAAAACAATAAAGTTACAAAACCTTCCACTCCTCAACTGCAGATCCTGGTCTGCTGATAATAATCAGATGACTGCCAGTAATTGGGGTTAATATTTCATACAGTGGAGTACAGTACGACTGCCAAAGAAGCATATGTGATCCTCATCCTACTTTGTGAGCGGGCCAGCTGTCCTTCAAATGTGGGTCACATACTGTACATTAGACCATCCAACAGATAACCAGATATGCAATCACAGGAGAGGGTCAGTGTGTAATACTGATGGAAGGTAGATTTCTATAAAGGTCCAATCAGGCTCTCAATCATCTTTGTATGTTTGACCTCTTCATATGAAAAAAAGACATTTAAAGCACATCAGAGCTGGTAAGAGTCAGGACTTTTGCATCATACTGTAGTGTAACTGTTTAATGGCAGTAAGGGAATATGTGCTCAATACAAAACCATTTCTTGAAATAGAGAAATATGAAATGTAGCTTATGGTGGCTTACTCAAATTTGACTGAAAACAAGAAAATGGCTTCCAGCTTTTGTTGCCTAAAGAAACGTGAAAAGCAGCTCATAGATACGGTGGCTGATAAGTGCAAAGCAAAATTACAATTTTTGCGACAAAGTTACATTTTGAAAAAGCTTTTTACATTTTTAGAAAACAAAATTACAAAACCAAAACACTTACACCAAGGAAAAAAACACATTTACATTTTAGAAAACAAATTTACAAGATGTGAAACACTTCAACAATCCCCAAACAAATTTACAAACGACCGAATCTTGACAAAATGGGAACGTACCAAATGTCGGAAGTGACCCGGATCTGATCGAGCTAAGTGATTGTTTGGGGACTGGTAAAAGTGTTCTGCCTCTTGTAAATTTGTTTTGTCCTTAGTAAGTGTTTTTGGTTTTGTAATTTGTAAAAGTGTTTAACACTTTGTAATTTTGCTTTGCACTTCCCAGCCACCGTACATAGAAGCTAATATGGGTTAGCTTTACAAAAATAAAAAGCATTAGGTGTTTATGGGAAAGTAAGCTTACTACTGTACAATGAATATTATACACGGCTTATGATTGCGAATGTTTTTTTTATTTTATAAATAAATATTTGTAGTTCATTGTAATGATGTTGCAGAAGAATTTGTTTATTAGTGTGAATTAACTTTAAAGAGATATAGCCTGGACCTTATGGTGGCGTATTAAACCTGACTTAAAAGACACTTCCTGTGGTTGTTAATGATATCTAACTTAAAGAGAGTTATGGCTTGTACACGACGCTCCTGATGGATGATAGTGTTTCTAAAAGCTTGGTTTCTCTCTTTATTTTTCTCATCCTGGAGGTAATTCCTGGACTAGATGTGTCAAAACAATCTGTGAAGTGCAGAGATGTTCTTTCATGTGAAAAGCTAAAAGCATTTATTGACGAGGCTCGCTGGCACTTTTTTCTCGCCTTGATCAGAGGAAGTCCTCTTTAACTATGGAGATATGTAATCTTCCTCTGCAGAGCAAACACCTCGGGGGTACACGACAGGTTGCTTTTTGTTTTGGCAGGTGAGCTAAAAAGAGAGATCAAACCGTGAAGGCATTGCTTTGTGTGTCCAGCTGATTGTGCTTCTCACAAAACTCTTATCCTTTTTTTAATAAGAGTCCTGTTTGGGTTGTTTCTAAAAATTCTCTTTATGGTGTGATTATCTTTTTAGTTTACCTGCAAACAGAAACACTTGATATCCGGTCACATTTAAGCGAGCCCATAAGTAAGAGGACTACAGCTCCAAACTGAGTATTAATCATATTGCAAATACCTGAATATTGTTTTGTTTTAAAAGCCGACATAAAGATGATGCTTGTTAATTAAAGGGTTATTTTTGGTTGTCAAAATGCGGTTTTTCAAAGCCCACCTGTCCTACAAGTTCTTCTCCTGCACACCTGATCCAATTACACTCTGATGAAAATGTGTCACCCTGAATTAGATCAGGTGTGCAGGAACAGAGCAGGACCAAAATGACAGAGGACAGGGTGGCCTTGAAAGCTGGAGGAGGCTGCTTGGAATAAAAAGAATAAACGTTATCAAGGGGGGGGTTCATCCTGTCATACAGCAGCAGAGCTTCAGAAATAGATGAATAAGGTACATGAAGGACTGCATCAGGAAGTTCAGGAAATAGAGATCACATCATTTTAGTGGGGTTAAGGTGTGAGGACTTACCATACTGCCTTACGTCCACACAGATGGAGTCAGGCGCGGTGATGTTGGAGTCGGGAGACCTCATGGCAGCGCAGGTGTTCCACATGTTGAAGAAGAGGAAAACGGGTATCGCCGTGAAGCCGAAGATGGCGAGGAAGGCCAGGAAGAGGATGTAGGTCAGGAACATGAACTGAGGTGAGTAGAAGATTAATTGTTGTGATGTAACAGAGAAAGCAGGTTAACATATATTCTTTTATCCACACACACACACACACACAAACAACACAGTAAGTGTTAAAGCTAATGTTTCTGGACATCTGCAGCAATTAGAGTAATCAGGCTAGAAAGGACAAACTGTGCCAGTGTTGCCCTCAAGGCCTCCAGTAGGATGCCGAGTGTTGGTGTGTATTTTTTATTTTTTTTTGTGTTCGTGTGAGTCTCTAACATGTGAAGTGGAGGTGTGAGATTTTGCCTCTCCAACACTTTCCCCGGTGACCTTTGCTCTGGCGCGTAAGCCTCTTTTTCACAAAAATCAGCTTTGATATCGCTGAAAAGTTATTAAATCTCGTTTTGATGCCTCGGCTTCTCGAGTGTAACCGGGTCAGTGGGCGCGATAGTTCGCGGCAGCTGTTTGAGCGCGTGTGGACGTACGAAGGCGGTGATGCAGCGTCCGCACACGGTCGTCTTGAAGTCGCTCTGCAGCTCCTTCTTGATGGCGCTGGTGGTGTAAAAGCCCTCGGCGAGCAGGAGGATGGCGTAGACGAAGAAGAAAGAGGCAATGCCGTAGATGATGTACTGAAAGATCTGGATCCTGAACAAAGAAAGGAAATAAACGACCGTGTTTAAACATGAGCGGCGAGATAAATATTTTCAAAATAAAACACGTCTTTAGTCCGAAATGAAAATAACGGGGACGCGTGTGAGCGTGGAACTGATAAGAGAACTTACACCATGGCGAGGGTGGCGTGGTCGGTTGTGATTCGGGAGAAGTGGATCTCCAGCATGGTCAGGGTGCCGGTCAGCGCCACGTGGCCGCAGCCGCAGAACAGGGCCACGCCTGAGAAGCAGAGGATGGTGGCCACCAGGGAGGCGTAGGGCACCCCGCCCAGACACTTGATGCAGCACTCGAAGCATCCTGTAGGGGGAGACGGAGAGATCCTGTTAAGTCAGTGACAGAAAATCACGCTCTCATACCCCAAAGGCTAAAACCTCAGTGACATCACGCTTAACATTTTTCCTCTTCAGTCATGATTTTGGGTTATGATTCAAATTAAAACAACATGTGATAACCCGTTTGCCAATGCAAGTGAGAAAGTGTTTAGTAACTGGTTGAATGCTGATGTTAGCTCATGTCTTACACGATCTCATGGGCTATATGTCCCTTCAGGTTTGAATCCAGAAGCAGGAAACATTCATATGACTTGCTAACCAGGACCCCAGGGAAGTTAGAAATGTCCCGCACCTGAGGTCACTGTGCGACAAAAAAAGAATCAAAGAACCAACTATCTAGGTCACACAGGAAATGTTTTCTTGAAGCTGTGTTGGGAGTTTTACGGAGCAACACGCTGCAACACGCCAGCTCACAAAGCATCTTGATGTTCTGTGGTGACGACACTCGCCGCAACACTCGCCGGCCTTTAGTCCACCGTTGTTCCAGTTCTGACTCACGCTGAACCTGCGTCCATGATCTTAGCTGGGGATGATTCAGCCGCATGTGTGTGTGTGTGTGTTGCTTGTGTCACGCTTGTCTCTCTGAGTCTACAAGAGAAAGAGCCGCACTTCTCCCTGTCAGGCATGTCGAGCGGCTAATCATAGCATCTTTCACGGTGAGTGTGTGTCGGCTTTGAGCTCAGCTGGGAGCGCTGAATATTACATGTAAGCCGCGCTACATGCTCGCATCCTGCGCCGCTGAAAAGCTCTTTCTCCCTTTTTGTGTTTGGAGAAACAAGTTTTCCTTTTTCATGACTAGATAGTATGAATAACTCATGAACAAATCCAGCTATTTTCTCGGGCATGAGGCAATGACATTTAATTTGCACTTGTTTAGAGTCATACCTTTTTAAAATACTGCCTGGGGACATTTAAGTGGAATTCAAAATTCATGCAAATTAGCACAAGTTGGCCTGCACACCTTGCATTCATTTTCATCGTTCTCATTTTTCACAACACCAGAATAACGGTTTAAAATGATCCCCTGTGCTTGAACTATGATTTGAAATCAGAACATTTGTTTTTCCATCAACCGTGGCTGCGTGCAAAGCTTCCTGGGCGCGTTACGAGCTACATGGGAGAGCACAGCGCGGTGCATTCTGCTCCCATCACAGTCAGGAGAGCACAAAGAGGGATGAAAAGGAGGAAAATAACACATTGTATCGATGCAACAAGAGCCGCATCTTATATAACACACCCGTTAAAAATAGATCCTCCAGCAAAAGCAGGAAGTAACTCTGCAATAAAAGGGAAAAAATGAACGGCCCTCTGTGTGCCACTTTGCTGTTTCCATGGCAACCTGCTCCACTCGGGAACTCTAGAGCATCCTCCCCCCCCCTCCCCCATGCACAAGAGTTTGTTGAATCTACACGAGTATTTGTAAAAGCCTTGTCTGCATGACTGACTGTGGAGCATCATGTGGAAGCTGTAGTCCTAAAAGCTGGTTTTAAAGACCGGGCAGTGTTTCAAGATCACGGACGGTTGTTATTGACGAGTTTAAAGGAGTAGATTGATTTCATCCAGCTGGGTAGTAGAAGAATAATCAATATTATTACTGCTGGTAGATGTGAGTTAGCTCAACACTTTGGGTGAAACATCTTGAATGATAGTAAATGGATTGATATCAATATTACTCATTTTATTAATAGTTTCTAATGATAATTTAATGTTTTTAAAAGTTATTTGGGATTACCTCACACATTTATGTTCTGAATTGTTATGGCTTTTGTCGTCCGCTTTGACCATAACCTTTTTATTGTATGACCAAAATGACCGTTAGCTTTAACTGTGAGTCGTGCTTCGTCCCAATTAGGAAATCATCATCGAGATTGTAGCTGCGTAACATTTTCATTTTCTTTTCTTTTTTTATTTCGAACATGTTTTTAAAATAAAATAAAATATACATTGCAAACAGCAATCGAAGCAGACTTTCTGTAGTGGCTCGATTATTTTTCCTTCACCAGTCCATGTTGGAAAAAGGGTGTAAAGATGAAGTTAAATAACTAATCCAGTCCGACCCCTTTTATCTTTTTAGCTTAATAAATTAATCCAAGGCTAAGCTTTCAAAAATAAATTCGAATAATACAGATAAAAAGTAAGAAAAGCAACAGATTTAATGTATTACACACATTAATTGGTAGACTGTACAGACCTTACAACTGATAGTGAGTCAGTTTTCCCCATCGACTGCTCAATTTTATATTTGTTAAATGTGTTATTCTTGAAAAAGTGTTTAAACTGTCCTAATGTTTGACATGTTTTCATTCATCGCTGCAGCTGTTCCATAAATCAACACCCTTCGTTGTCATACAGTGTAGTTTCATGTTGGTCCTTACTGCTGGTTCTGAGATTGTGTTAACTGTCCCTCTGCTGATAAAACTTTCAGATACTGTTCGGTATCTGATCATTTTTAACTTTGTGCATGATTTGAGTGGTTTTAAAGTCGACCAAGTCCTTAAGTTTCAGTGTTTTCAGTTTGATGACGAGTGAGTTGGTTGGTTCTCTGTAGTTGGAGTTAGTTATAATTCTTATCATTCATTGTGTTGAGAATGTTAGCATGCATTCAGGCAAGCAGGCAATTTACTCAAAGCAACCTAGTACACAAGTAGGGGGTACTTATGTCATGATGCACATAACGTGTTGTTGCATTACCCCATGCTCCCTGTTCTATTCTGTTTTGGACACCTTGTATTCATGGTGCAGTGACACTGAGGGAACATAGACACACTCCTGTTCGTAGGCTACAGCCTCACTGAGGTGTTACTTACAGTGACTTTATTTTCCAGACAGTGAAACAAACTTTTTGAGTTCAGATTCACTGAGAAGCCTAAAGTTAATAAAACACTCAGAAAATGAGCTCAGACAGTTTTTGAAGTACATAACAGGTGTCATCTGAAATCAAAATAAGTAAAGTTTAGCTTCTGTGTGGGAACTAACACTTCCAACAGCATTGGGTCATGAAGTCTTTCCAAGATCTGTTGTGTTCTGTCTCGTGTTGACCCGTTCAGCGCGTGGGGTCATGTGCGAACACTTCCTCTCCTCTCCGTGTCAGGGTGAACAAAAAAACAACGATGTTAATCTAAGATGCTCCGCTTCCGAAGTGTGGCTGCTGCTGCTGCTGCTGCTGCTGAAAGACTCTGAGTTGCGTAACCTCGCGGAGGCTCGTTGCATAATAGATCCAAATCCTATTAATGTTAATGAAGGGAGCGGGCTGATGGAGAAGGTGCAGCTGATAAGGCTGGATGGCTCCAGAATCCTGAGCTGAGAAACAGGCCAGGCCCCTCAGGGCGGCGGGGGGGGGGTTTGCAATGGACTTGATGGTCGATACAATGAGGACCAGGAGGCTGTTTATGAGCTGCTCTGCTCTGACACTCCATCCTGATATAAGGCTCAATCTAAACAGGTAATTCAGCCTGTAAATCTGCCAAGAGAAGGTTATGAAGCCTGCTGAGTGACGTTATAATCCATCTTTTTAAACACGGATCATGAGTTTCCAGGCAGCTTCATCTTGATAGTCATAAACTTTTGCTTCACCTCTTTTTGAAGGTGATTAAAGAAGCCACATTTAGCTTCTTCAAGCTTACATTTAAGATGTATCCGCAAAGTGCACGGGCTTTAAATATTCCAGCTCTTAACTCTAGCTGTGTTGCTTCACGGCTGACTTCACAGGTCTGTTTTAAACGCTGAGCGGGCCCATTATCTGCTCCGCCTGTGGCTACGACTGTTTGTCAGCCTCAGTTTTAAAGCCCACTAATGGGAAGCGGACAGGCCGGAGTGGTCAGCTCCAGCCGGCCCTAATGGAAATCAATGGACTATTCATTAGAGTAGAATTTAGGTGATACACAGCGAGGCCTTCATACCTCTTCTCCTCTGCTCCCTCTGTTGAAATACGACTGCATGCCCACGCTGTACTTACAGTGAGCCAGCTGGAGTTAATCGCCGAGACAATATGCTGCGGTCCCGTTACAATGCTGTATCATACATCATCTCTGCAATCTCAGGCCGAGGACCGTGCATCAGGTGGTGGGAACGATTCCCCCGGCTGTTACAGGAAGAAAGCACTTGAGCAAGACTGGCCAAATACGACAGAACAAAAGATTTGGGAATTTGTTCATTTTCTCAAGCGACAGAAAAGCAAATAATTTGATGGACAAGAGCTGCAATTAGGATTAAATCCCCCCGCTGCTTGAGCTTGTTCTCCTTCCAAAAGCGCTTCCAAGAACTAGAAAATGTCCCACTGCTTAAATTAGAATTTCAATTTGTGGCAGAGGGTGACGGTTAAGTGAAAACATGATAATAGAGGCCTGCTCTTTTATTGTTTTGTTTTTTTTAACACAAAGACAAAAGGGAGGGCAATTAAGAGACTGGGGAAAAGGAAGGTGCGGATTCGAGAGCAAAAGGAAGAAGCGGTGAATGGAAAAATGAAGGCCAGGGAGAGCGATCGAGAGAATGCACGGAGTGGAACAAAGCCAAGAGGAAGAAGAACGGAGGAGGTGAAGAAAGAGGCAGACTACAAGGAAGAAGAAGAGAGATAGAAAGTGTGAGCGGAAAAAAAGCAGTTATAGGCCTCGGGGCCGGCGAACAGCAGTTGCCATGGCAACGTGTTACCCACGACCCAGTTCAGCGGTAGCGTATAGTCGTTTCGCACGTACTCACACACGCACCGATGTCGAGTGATTTAACCTCAGTCCAAACCTGGAGATGGGTGCTAAGCGGTGAAAAACAGTCGGCACAGTTTGTGAAAAGTGGGTGGAAGGGAGGTGAAAAGAAACCGCGACTAACTTCCCCGGGGCAAATTTTTAGGAAGTGGGTCAAACAGATGATGTATTGTTTTACATCAAAGACAGAAATATGGAGGAGAGGGATGATTCTGTCTATTCAATCTTCTTCAAGCACTGTTCAGTGACTCTGCAACAGATTGAAACA